TATTCACACAATCAGTATTTTGAATAAATATTTTATATGACGTTTATTCAATTATTTATTTAATATTTATATAATAAAATATTAGTTTGTGTGTGTGTGTGTGTGTGTGTGTATAATATTTAACGTTAATGTGTAATCTTGATCCTATGCTGCATCTATTATTAATACTTAATTTAATATTAGAACTATTGACAATGAATATATGCCTATTTCTAAAAATTAAAGTAATAGGTTACTGATAAAATATGTTATACACAGAGAAAATAGATTTTTATTAATATTTATTTATTTCTTTATTCAATATCAATTCGGTATAAACAAAATATGCTTTTTAAAAAATCATAAAAAATATTATTTAAAAAAATGAATACTCAATTTAGTTAAAGCAATCATTTTTATTGATTTTTGTTAGTCCTCTACTGTTACAATAATAATAAATTATTATTTATACTGAACAAAATATTCATATATACAAAGTACTGATCAAATAAATAAAAGTGATTTTATTTTTCTCATCTTATCTCGTTAAAAATGAATAAGAAAAGTAAAAGAAGGAATCCGTAGTTATGAAGAAGTTGGATAAAGTTGCTCTAGACATTGAAGTGTCCTTGAAAGCAGCAGAGGTTCTAATGTCTCGAGAACAAGGCTAGCGCAAGGTAGAAGAGAGAAAAAGAGAAAAAAATAAAGAAAAAAAGAGTCATTCTACTAGGTAGGTACAAGGTAGAACTTGTTACTGGATAGGGTTGATGGAGGTTCACAGGGATGAAACGAGTAGGTGAACTTCTATCCCCCGTTGCGAATTACCGTTGCTCTTAGCCAATACGCCGTTGGGGCATTTAATGCTATGGTTAGTATAGCGCCTTCTCTCTGTCCAACCGGTTTCCTTTCAATATCTCTTTAACCTTCGTGGCAGGAAATACGGTAAAAAAGCGCTATTCTTCTAAAATCTCAACGACTGTCCATGTTCACTTTTTTTTAAGCATAATTTTAAAACACAGAATATTCAATTGGAATTATAGTATTATAGAATTTCAATTATTCGAAATAATTAGGAAACATCGAATATTCGAGTAATAAAATAATGATTCCGTAATGATATAGTGATTTTCGAAAATATATGTAAATATATTATTAAATGTAAATTATTTACATGCGGCTAATTGTAATAATTTTTGGGAATGGCCGTATATTTTGCTTTTTCTTCTTCATTATACGTTTTCATCGCTGCTACATTATAAACAGTTGCAGTGTTTAATCATTATCAGACTTTATTACTAATATGAATAATTAATTTTGTTTTGTATGATTCATTTTAAACTGAACTTTTTAAACATAAAAAAAAGATAATCAAGATTTTTCTGTATTCGACTTTCAAAGGAAAATATTTTTTGAAATGCACCGTACAATTCAACAAAAAAATACATTTGCGATCCAATTTAAAAGTAACTCTTGCCCCAGCAAATTATAATATTTCCATTCCGCATTTTTGTATTATGAAGAGGAAGTGAAGTGGTTTGCTCTGAAAAGATTCTCTGCCAGGTTGGATAGAACAAAGTATACAAAAATTCTTCAGCTTGATGGAGTTGATAGAAAAATAAGAAACGAAGTTTCGCTACCTTTGACATTCGTATACTCTCTTTCGTCATTTTTCTGATCACTCTTGGGAGCATTTTTTGTCAAAGTACAACTTCTTCGAAGGATTTCATTTTATTTTTCAATTTACACTTATTGAATTTTTATATGAAAAAAAAGTCTCGAGAAGATTAAAAAAAGAAATTATTCTTATGTACCATTCAAATATGTAAAAAAAGGACATTTAATAGAACACTTTTTATAATAAATTTGAAATATTATTTAATATTTGTTCCTCAGATACGTCTCAGTACTAACGACACACAATAGAAGAAGTTAAAAAATAATTTATCATAACCTTCAGGTTAAGTATGGCTTAATAGTACGAAACATACAGTCATGAATTTACCTTTTCTTTTTTTGTATCAAAAATTGACAGATGGCCAGAATTAACATCCACCTCACAACCTCCTTATTTTAAGAATAGCTTTTGTAAACAATACTAAAGATCACATTAATGTTTAAATACACTTCATTTTTCTACCCTTATTGATCTATTGTGTTTTTTAGTCATCGATTTTTAAAATATATTTTTTCATCGGCGCCAATGTGTGACCTACGAAAGGAAAAAAATTGATTACCACTGCGATGAATCTATCTTTTCTAGGAAAAATTTCATAAAAATTTCATAAAAATTTCATAAAAATTTCACCCGTAAATAAGAGAAGAATTTTGGCGAAAATAAGTAAATGCATTTTATGAAAAAATCGATTTTCCAAAACAAATCTCAACTTAGATGAGGCGACTGACTTAAAAAGATAAAACCATCTCCGTTAAAACGTTATATCGTTGGATTTTTCTTCAGAATTTCTAATACAAATAGAAAATTAAGTGAAAGCAAACGTCTGCGTTTACAATCTAACACACACTATGGTCTCGAGTTTCACATTTTAGCGAAAGAAATATTAGAAGCCAAAAATACATTATTAAGAACTGCTATTTATTGGATTAATATTTTTAAACATTTTTATTTTCTATATTTGAAATATAAATGTAAAATATTTATAATAAAATATTAGTATTTTAAATAGATGATCGGTATTTGCAACAAAATATTATTATGTAATCCTAAAACAAATTTTAAACACTGATCAACTGTTTAAAATACAAACCAATTATTTGCAGATGAAAAATATTCATATATTCTATCCATTTATTTTGCAAAATATTGACAAATCCTAATCAAATTAATAGAAATGTACAATTAGTAGTAGTACATGAAAAAGCTTTGTGTATCTTGTTATTTGTTGAAGTGAAATTTGTAATACAAAATAAAGGTAACGTTTGTCATTAAATTTTAAAAACTAAAGCATTTATGCAATCTGACACTCTGCAGCATACGTGACTAGAAATGAATTATACAATAAAATGCACTTAGGAGTATATTGACCATGTACAAAATTTAAACAAATGGTATATATTTCAAAAAAACAAACTTCTTAACTATGCAATTACACATTTTGCTTAAAATCTAAAATTATACATATCGTTCATAAAAACCCTATACAAGTAAACAATAATGCGAATGGAAAGAATATATGAACAAAATTGAAAAAGTATTAAATTGAGTTATCAAAGGTCAATAGAATACTTAACCTTCCCCAAAAAAGAAAAACTTATTTTTTATCTTCATGATAGGTTCCTTTTTCCTACTGGATTGACTTTATTTGATATCGTAGCTGGTCGAATTGATCAAAATCAGAAATCCTTCCAATTCCAAAGGGACGTGGTTTCATCTTTGTATCATTCGAGATGTAAGAAAGAAATAAAAATAGGAAGGTATCATAGTTATTACAGTATCGGTTTAACTTACTCCCGTAAGATTTCTTCTATCATTCCCAAACGAAAAAAGGGCCGAACAACACACTCGAAACACATATGGGGAAGAAAAAGAAGTTAGAAATAGAAAGAAAAAGAGATAAACAAGTGGTGCAATCATCTTGCCTATTTCTACCCTCTATTTCGTGAGAAGAAGGGTGAAAAAATCCAAGAAATTGACCCATATGTGACATTAGCTATCACATGCACTCTTTCTCTTTCTTTTTCTTTCTAAATGTGACGAAAGCTGACGGTGAAAAAGCCGGGAAATCTGTATCCCCTTTTTTCCTTTGTGTAGAACAGCAAAAACGATTTACCTTGACCATCGTATATTAATTTTCTTTTTATTACTTTTTTCGCAATCATCCATAAATCGATTCATTAAGTAAAATTACTTTAGAGAATATAAAAATTACATATATATATATATATATATATATATATATAATCGTTTACTGTACAGTATTACTTAAAGAACAAAAACAAGCATAGTATGAAATAATTTTGTATAATATATGTTTTATAATTAACCTGTATAGTATATAATTATAATATTTCAATATATTATAATATTATAATTTTATGTATTGCACAAAACTTATCTTTACGCACAAAGCAAGATAATATAATTAATTTTTATACAGTTCTACTTTCCAATCGAAGCCGTACTACAATCTGATCTCTATTTATATTGCCTATAGTACTCGTTACGCTAATCGAGTACTGTCTACCTTAAATTTTCAAATACGGTTATTGCCCAATCTTGAATATACCCTAACAATAAGCCAAATACAAATATTTATAAATATTGACAATTTTGAGGTTCAGCCTTTAATCCAGAATAACCTAACATCTTCTAAATTTCGACGTCTTTTACATCCCTTATTGTAAACAATTATAAATAAAAATACAAAATTCAATAAATAAAGCAGATAACTTCGCTATACTACAAACAGTTTCCTCGCTTCCGTATTATATAGGAATAGTTATGAAAGAATTTATAATTATATTCATCAAATAAAGTATTCCAAATATGCTTGAAATTTGTATATAAATTAAATTACCTTTAGGCACCCTCTAATATTAAGACGAAGGGTTGAAACTGAAAAATGATTTGATACTAAACTTTGTTCATACTAAACTAATGAGTGCATTCATTAAATACGAAATAACGATTCAACCCGGCTATAACGTAGCAATTAATTCATTCCGTGTTATTATAAACTGTGTTAAACGGAAACTAAACATCGGGAGAATAAAATTCGTGTTATATGAGGTTGGTCTAAGTTGATAAAGTAATATGAAAATTGTGTATTATAAGTTGTCATCATTTTTGCACCGTGTTATATTGAAACTTTAATTTCAGAATACCATGTTATAAGAGAGTGGAGTATATAATTTACTATTAAAATAATGAATCTCAGAAAAAAAAAACAGAAAAACTAAAAATATAATTAAGAAAAATAATAGATTGTATGCATTCATTAGGTGACAGTCAACTATGGTTGACACTTCTACAGAAAAAGTTAAAAATATATTTTTTGTTTCAGGTAAAGCTGTTCCATTTGTGGAATTGACTGTAGCACATGCCTCGGTTTTAACAATTTTGGCCATTAGTTTTGAACGATACTACGCGATTTGTGAGCCGCTTAGGGCAGGGTAAGTGAAAGAAGACAAACGTATACAACACATATATAGGGTGATTCAAAATAAACTAACAGTTATTTGAATAACTAGTAAGTAACTTTATGAATTACCAACAAATTTTTCTTTTTTATTTTTCTATGTTATTTTTTAATAACACAAACGGAAAATTATATTTGATAATAATTGTTAAAAATAATCAACTTTACGTTTAATAAAGCGTCAAAACACTTTTTAAAGTTTTCTACAAGTAGGTTTGAAGTTGTTCTCAAGTTATTTTGGATCATCCTATACATATAAATTTACATATAAATTTACATATAAATTTACATATAAATTTACATATAATTTAAATCCACGTAGTATATCAAAATCTGACTAACATTTCTTTCATTCGTAGATACGTTTGCACGAAGGCTAGAGCCACATTTCTTTGCTTTTTAGCCTGGGTAGCAGCAGCCCTTTGCACAAGGTGAGAAGATTGATAGACTTCGTAGGTATTATTGTTGTTTTGTCATTAGGCAAATCGTATTGCTTAGCTTATCATCAGCTTGCTTGATATCCTTTTCCCTACATCAATTTACACATTAATTTCAATTTCGTATTTACTTATTCGTCATTTGATTTAACATCAAATAAAAATACATTAAATGTCATTTGAACATTAACATTTGATCTGAAGCTCGTTTATAATTTACAAAAGTAGTTAACATATTATAGATATAAATAGAAATCGAAATTTAAAAAAAGAAATAACGGAAATTTATTAATTTTTTTTTATTTTTATTCCATTTATTTCATTTAATTTTTTTTGTCTCGTTTTTTTCGTATTGATTTCTAAAATATCGTACTCTTTAGAGTGCTGAAAGGTAAACAATAAATCATTGCTAGTACTATTTAAAATATTGATTATTTAAACGTAGGACGACCCACGTGGTACAAAAAACTAGGGAAAAATGTTAAATAAAAAATCAGTTAACATTCCAATAATTTCACTATCACGAGGAGAAAAAGTAAATAAAAAGAGTAATGACCAATATACACCGATACCAAAGATCATTATTCGCGTCGTAAAAAAAGAAAAGAAAAAGGTCCTGCCAAGTGCAAGAAGGGTGAGACCCTGTCGAAGAAAGCTCGATTTCGTACTCCATCGAACGTAATGTACGGAAGTGGTTCATCCGACCTTTATATACATTCCGGTTCAGTCAGATGAGGGAAAACGCATGAACCAGACTGAATAAGTATCGTCTGTGTGTGCGCGAACGTATCTCTATGAGAACAGCACACGTCTCTCTTGCGTTCTTAAGTACACCGCCTACGGGCGCATACAGCTGCTGCTCTTGTCATAAAAAGCATATTATCCGTAAACCACTTTCCACAGGAACGTTTTATATACCGTATGTAAGAACAGATCACTCGTGCTTAACTTTGTCGAAGGGGACTTTTCTCAAAAACCCAACTCAAAACGAACCAATTTTTTCTAATCTAAAATCTTTACCGAGTTATTCTTAACAAATAAACCTACTGACACTTCCATACAACCTATTTTTACTGTTTCTTTAAGTAATGTTAAAAATTGTTTAACATTTTGAAACAAAAAGTCGTCATATATAATAATATATGTTTTTGTCGTAAAAAAATTGCTAAAAGCGTTGTTTAAATTTTAATTGTTAAAAAACTTTTATGTTTCGCTTTAAAAGAGAATATTTTAATAGAATAAACTCGGAACAAATCAGAGGTTTCACAACAATGCCTTTTTAATACCTTTCCGTATTTTCTGACAAGGTTCACAAAGGTGGATGTACAGTTCAATAAAACGTTTTTGTATTTGGTTGAAAGTTCTTTCATCATTCTTTCACGTCGTCCGTATCCAATAGTCAAATGAATTTCATGAAGTATGTGAAATAACTTTGATAATTAGTGATCGAACGGGAATTAGTGCTGTCAGCGCGGCATGGCCGTTGAAGATATAATTTTACATAAATGATAACTACAAAAAAAATTAATCTTATTGTTAATCAAAATATGCTTAATTGTCTTAAAAGCATTATTTGTCCTTTTTTATCTCCAACTTCCTTTGCAATTTATCCAAGCTGGACACTCGGCAGATACGTTTAACAATGAGTGTAATTATATCGCGTAGATGTTCTCTCAGTAGAGAATATGTTGTATATAGAAAAGTTTACACAAAAGTTTGAAAATAGTTCATTTGATCGGTGGTGATAAGTTTAGTATTAAATTTTATTTTTAATCATCAAGTATAAATACCAGTTAATCACATGTGTGATCAAGTATGTAATAATAATGTATATTTATTCTCTCTTTTGTTTTCTTTTTCTTTTTGTCTTTGTAAATAATTTGAAACATTTCGATACGATTGATTTATAGTTGATTGTACGTGCAATCGCATCAAACAGTGATGGATTGCTACAAGATATATATATATCAGTCTCCCTTACGTAACAAGCAATTGTCTTTTCTATCGACAGAATGATATGTGATAGTTAACAAATTTTACGGGGCTAATTTTATTATATTAACCTTGAAATATGTTTAAATATTTGAATCCTTGATAAAAAAACAATCATTAAATATCTAAGAATTGTGTCGTTAATTAGGATAGATAATTCATTTTTTTTTTTTTATTTATTCCATCAAAATTACTGGAATACTGGAAAATTACATGAATGTAAAAGAAAACGAAAAAATATACAGGTTTATTTTAAATTAATAACAAGCTGAATATCTCCTTTGTTGAGAAGATCATTAAGGAAATCATTCTATTTAAAAAAACCAAGTTTACCTTCAAATTTCCTAAACGTCTTTATTAATAAAAAAAAATCATGTACACCACATTATGCTCCTTTTGATACTATATAATCTCTGTAGAAATAATTTATTGTTTAATGTACAATTTAGTAATTATTTTATTCGAAATAATCGAGTTAGATGCCTCAGGCTATATACTAAACGTTTCTTGCAATAAAAATAATGCTTCTTTGTGATTAACAATAATAAACTATTATTAATAGTATAATTTTAATAAAATTTTATTTTGATCTACAGTCCGATACTTTTAATGGTAAACTACGAGTTAGAAGAAGCCGACGATACATTTATCCCAACCTGTTACACTTCAGCCGATGCAACATGGATGAATGTTTTTGTTCTTACAACGATAATCGTCTTTTTCGTGGTTCCATTATTAATTCTAATGGTCCTGTACACAGTGATAGCGTTGCATCTAATGGCAAATCCAGCGATAAGCCGTGGTCCAGCTAATAATTTGTTAAAATATCGTAAACAGGTAGTACTAATGTTGGGTACTGTTGTCTTATGTTTCTTTCTCTGTTTATTACCTTTTCGAGCATTAACCTTATGGATAATTGTAGTACCTCAAGAAATGATAATCAATCTTGGAATCGAAGGATATTACAGCTTATTATATTTCTGTAGAGTAATGTTATATTTGAATTCCGCTATTAACCCTATTTTATATAATTTAATGTCTACTAAATTTAGAGAAGGTTTTTTGAGACTTTGTGGATTAGGTCCTACAAGGAAAAGAAAGAAAAAGACTTCGGATAGAACTGGAACATACACAACTGGTTCGACTAATTGTAGTAGTAGTAATCATTCTGATTTCTGGAGAAGGCATAGCAGTAATAAAAGTAGCAACGTTAAAGTATCTAGTAATACTTGTACCACTATGTCCGTGGAAAAACAAATTAATGTACCGTTAATCACTGCTGTTGTCACTGGAAATATTGTTAAAAAGAAACAGGAAAGTTATGTTTAAAATAATCCAGAAATCATAGTACAATAGAGCGTCGATTATCCGAATTAATTGTTAAACAAATCCGTTTCAAATAATCGATCTGAAATAATCAAATTCCTAATTGTGTCATAAACCAATTAAAAATTAAGCAATTTTTTAATCTGAATGGCTTATCAGTAAACAAATACGTACCTAATAATAATGCGTCCAGTAAGTTTATTCAAAGACGAATTATATCTCGAATTTGATAAGAGTAGAAAAGTACTATTTTAAAGAAAAAATTTAATTGAATGATAATTTTCATAAATTAAGGTGACCATTTTTTTCAACTTTAAAATCAGAATATTTTTTTTACTTTTTTTACAAGCGCTCAAATTGTCATACCATTCTAATTTTTTCTTAATAATTTTGTTTCTATCGCTTACCAAATTCAAGACATGATTTTGATCTCAATTATCTGATATACCCGGTATAATAATTCCATATGAACTCAGTATAATATTGCGTTGAGAGGACTAACAATGAGTATGAGAAGTCTTAATAAATGTTTAAACGTCAAATAATTATTTCTTTTATATGTTCTATTTTTTATTTTGTTTATCAATACATTATAAATAATTGTATAATTGTTATTAAAAGACTTCTGTGTTAACTTTTAATATCATTCCAATTGCAATGAAACCACTACAAAATTCCGCTAAAAGTATTCTACGTAAACTATTATAATATTTAAAAATATATTTTGTAATTATAATTATATAGAAAATGTAGACTATTGTAAAGTATTAAGTTTGTAATACATAAGAGAAAAGAAATAACTAGTCATAGATTTAAAAAAAAATTCATTATAGTTGAAATGTGAAATTTAACAACCCAATCATTGTTATAAATAAAAAGCACGAAATATAAACAATACAATGATTCTAAATGATATAACATCTCCTGTTATTTTTTGTTTCAGGGTAACAAAGCTGGATAATAATTATGAAAGTAATATTTCAAATAAAAAATGAAATATTAATAAATACAATATTTTATTTTCAAAAGTATCATTTTTCGAATAAATAAAATAGATTATTGTTATTATTGTTATTATTATTATTATTATTTTATATTATTATGTGGAAAATAAAAGAGGATATTTTATGTATCAAATAAAATTGAAGAGGAGGAAAACCATTCACCAGATTCAAAAAATCGAAAATTTGGTTTTTTCATAAAATAATAGCTAAACATCAAATAATCAAATTAATTTTATTATTGAATTTCGTAAATTCTATTTATAAATCACAGAGTTTAGCATTTATATTTTCAAGAGAATATTCCTTTGTTCCTGCAATTCTTTTCGCTTCATTGTTTTCCGCACGCAGAGACAAAGATGATGTGCGTACCGTTTTTTTCAGCGATAAGTATTGTTTCAATCGCTATAATCGGGGCAAAATATAAGTTGCACAGCAAACAAAAAATAATACTTTTTATTCTTATCTTTATGCAATGATTCATTTTATTTTATTTGCACCCTAAATTCGTGAAAGAAATATTTCTAATAGAAGTGATTTATTGATAATCTAATCAACATAAGTGAAGATTGCTCCGATTATAGAAAGTAAAAACAAAAATTCTTACACTTCTAATTTGAGTAAATTGGAAAAACTTATCAAAAAACAAACTAAACAAATAAATAACCTTCTCGCCAAATAATGAAAACTTTACGTATTGCTTTTTGGAACGCCAATGGTCTAATTACAACGAAAAGTTGAGTTGGGATCTTTCCTAGAAAATTAGAACCGATTGTATATTTTTCTATTTAAAATAAAAAAAAAAAAAAGAAAAAACAATTATAAAACAATTATATAATATGAAATGATGGACAACCAAATTTATTTCATGCTGACATAACATTTGGTTTTTATTTTACAATATGAATCTCCAGTTACAATGTTATAAAGTTACTTGTTAACTTGATTAAAAATACCGCCAAAAGCAGAACTTTAACTATGTAACCCACACTCGAAATACATTTCAAAGTTTGGGTACATTTCTGAACGTTATAGCACGAAGCCTATATACAAGGAGAACGAACGCAGTATTATAAATGTGGCTACGTATATACAGTATGAAAGGATGATTTCTATTGCCACTAAAGAGCGCGTCGATTCGATGGATCAGATTTTTCAAATATATATAGTTGTACCACACACACATACTAAAATCTAAAATCTCGAACACCACCGCCGTCCTCGTAGGGAATTATCATACACGATGTTTCCTCATTTTCAACGACACAAATTTGACGAGAACGCGTATCGCGTTTGTTCTCCTTGCATATAGGCTTCGTGGTTATAGTTAAAAATTCTACTGTTGGCTACTCTGATGATCCAATTAATGAAAATTAATTGAATTTGCTTTAAAATTATCAAACTTTTTGGTAGTTTACAACATCGATAATAGTGTTTGTTTCTTATTGGTCATCAATACAGACAATTTTTAACGTGCATTTTTATTGGTCATCAAATAGTTACATTGAAATATTTCAACAAATCATATTGTATATATTTTGTATTGTTAAATCATTAACCAATGCAATGATACCAATTTTAATAGTCGCCGATACAAATAAAGAATAGATGCTTTTTTATTGGTCTTCAATGTAGGAAATGTTTGACATTCTTTCTCATTGGTCATCATGTAGTTACATAAATATATCCACAAATCACACTGTTTGGATTCTGTTTTGCTAAATTCTTAACGGATGCAACGATACTAACGTTAGAGAGCATTTCCGTTCATTTTAGGAGGGAGTCAATAGCATAGTGAGCACGGTGACGATCAGTGCTGAAGAATTGAGATTTGAAAGGAACGAAAGCGTCCATTTTCAGCTCTTGATGTACGAATATCTAATTTAATGTACATCTATCAAGTAAATATATATTATTTTCAATTTGATTATATTCTTTTCACATTCGTAATATATTTATTTAGTGTATAAGAGAAAAATTAGATCTTTAGATTAGTGTTAATACGACTATAGATATATTTTACAAGAAAGTATACTAACGCTTTTCCAGAATCACGATTTTGAGTTTTTTCCATATTGATCGATTTTTTTTACAAGTCAATTTTATCACCTAATTGGAATTAAATATCAACGTCTTTTTTAATCATTGACTCGATATTATTTTTATTATTATGCATTTAATTAATCATACGTGGTATTTGTAAGAAAAGTTTAACGTGTTAGGTTAGGGCTAACGAAATAAATCTAAAATCCCGCGTGGTTGGAAATATTTTCATATTGGAAATATATTCATTTTCAACTATTACTATGCAAATTTTAATTTCATTATTTTCTTTTTAACCGAGATTTAATCTTATTTAATATTGTTTAAACTTTTACACTACTATATTGTCTTGTTTTATTTGTAGTTGTAAATTATGTACTGTTTTATATTTTTTTATTTAAAAATATTATATTTTTATTTAGAAAACATATAATTTGTTGTAAATATTATCTCCTCTGGAATATGAACTTTGCCAAATAAATTTTTTCTAAAACTTCTAAATTTAAATTAATTAATAATTCAATTGATTAGAGTTTTCAATAATATTAAAATTATTAAAAATTATATATTAATAAATGTTACATTTTTTGGTTTTAATTATAATAATTTATAAAAATTGTTGATTCCAAAAAATAGATAAAGTATTGTAATTTTATTTATTATTCTTGTAATTAGGATATTAACAAAGTCGTTCTACCCGAATGGAGAGTCAATTAAACTTATCAAAACTAGAAAACGTATCAATGATTGAATCTTCTGAAATTTTTCATTTGCCTGACGTACCTGAGATATCAGAAGTATTAGAACCTACAGGTCTCAGTCCATTAACTTCGTCTCTGGATCAAACTCTTACATTACAGGCAGAAAATATGACTATTGAAGAATTGTGGTATTGATCATTTTCTTGCTTTATATTTGTAATACAAATAATTAACTCTTTGCATTCAACATTTTTTATTAGTAAGCATTGACCGTTTCTGAATAGTATTATACAATTAATTTTTTAATCGGGATTGACAAATTAATTTATCTTGATATTTTGAAGATAATGCAAGTAAAATTTTAAACTCAATACATCAGCTGTTTACTTTTTAGCTTAAAATACTCTTTTATTTATTGAAGAACCTACTTTAAATTCCCTATTGTCTAATAATCACATAAAACACAATGTTTTACTTAATGTATTTATTGATCACATATTTGCCATGGCAAGAACAAACTGCACTTTTGGTAAATTCATTTTCCGCTTAAAAGATTAAATATATATTACTTTTCTGAAACTAATTTAATTTATAATTTCATAGAAGAATACACGAGGTTTTTATGATTAGTTTTTGTCATGTTATAAACGGAAAATTTGTTAAGTTAAAATAATGATTCTACAATAGAGCACTCGAATGCAAAGGGTTAACGCATTGTTGACCAGTACTTTCACTCAGAATCTTTCTCATGTCAGTGGTTATTATTTCGTAATTGAGTATGAAAATGAAACGATCTAAATGAACTTCAATACATTTTATTTGAACATGAAAACATGAGTTACCTTATAACTGGTCAATGATGTTTTAATATATTGAGATATTACGAGTGAACAATAATTAAATAATAAATTTAATGCCAGATATATTCATTTTCAATAGGACCGAAGCAAGTAGCCCTGTATCAGACCGTGCTATTCCGCTTCCACCTGCACCTGAATTAAATGATTTCCGAGATGTTGATTTTAGAGATTCTAACACAGATACAAATGTTGATTCAGGAGCATTAGTACAATATGGTCCGTTTTTCCCACCTTCGGGAACACCGGCATTAAACAATATTTTTGCTGAGACTGGAGATGTTCAGGATGATTCTACAATGGGTAATAAAATTTCTACTTATATCTAATACGTTCCATGTTAAACAGATTTTTTATGACTTTCTGTTTAAGCCGCATAAGTCGTATATACACAAATTAATGAATAGCAAAAATTTCAATGGGTTTAAACCAAAAGTTCAGAGTAAGGGTATATGCGACCCAAACGGCACAGAAAGTATTAATTCAACTAATAATAAGATATGAAATCAATTACCTCATAGGTCCTTTACCTGGCCATACAGAAATAGTTGTTTTATCTGTTGGAGTTTGTGGACTTCGTAATCTTGGAAATACTTGCTTTATGGCTGCTGGTTTACAATGTTTAACTGCGACGCCACCTGTTTTACATCATTTTTTGAATTTAGAAGAAAAAGGAGAAAAATTACCACCGCCTGGATCTTTAATGGCACACTTTAGTGGACTTCTTTGCAAAATGTGGTCAGGCAAATACAGTGCATTAAAGCCAACTGAATTTAAACAGACATTGGGTGTATACCACTCCCAATTCAAGGATTACAGACAGGTAAGCTTGTGACAGTCAAAAAATCATTTGCATTTATGATATCTAAAAGACTTATCGACAACTCGAGGATCCCGGAAGCAATTAACAACGGTTGTCGTTGGCAGCATGACTGCCAAGAGTTCCTTGCTCTACTGCTAGACTCTCTGCACGAGCAAATGAATATGGCAAAATCATCTAAGAATTGCCACGTTCCAGTATCAACGTCAACTGCCAAATCATCCTTTAATCTCATTGAAAATTCAAATGGAAAGAATGTTTCCTCCGCCACTGCCACTAGGAATTCAAACTGTGCTAGCGATTTCTTAGAAGCTTATAACTGTTTACCAACATTAGATTCCCCTAATAGTCCAAATCTTACAATGGCTGGTTCTTTAAGAGGTATTTAATTTGAGGCATATACTTTTTAATATTCTTTTTCTTTTTATCAGATATTTACTATTAAAGACAATATTTAGCTCTGTATATCTTGTTTTAGATTTTAACTCACCAGTATGTGAATTAGATAGTACTGCAAATTCGCCAAGATGCTCACCTTTAAATGACGACGACGATGAAGAGACTTTAGATTCTGAAGAAATGATGGGTACAAAAGCAGGATCTTTCATACATAATGAAGTTAATGAAGGAAGTTCCGACGCATGTTCTTTAATGTTTAATTCTTGGGACAAATTATACAAAAATGTTCCACAACTTCATGGATTGTATGATATTCACAAAGAAGCTAAAACTAGTAATGCTAATTTCCTTGTAACGCAGCAAGAATGTAATAATGAAATTCATTACGATTCGCAAAAATTTCCAAAAGAGAATGTTCGTAGAATGCCATTGGATAATTCTAACTTAATGGAGAATCATGATTTTGACAATAAAAGTATTAGTATTAAACGTATTAAAGAAGTTAACATACAGAAAAGCAATTGCGAAGTAGATTGTGTTTCAAGTTGTTCTGACTTAGAATACGATAGAGATTTAGAAAAGTGTAATGTAAAGCGAATGAGATTGGAAGATCAAGAAAAAAATCATAAATGTGATGGTTTAAGTGGTACCATACAATGTTTGCGTACCTTACAATCTGGTGAAAATGGATCGGTTATTCCACAAGATGAACTTGAAGCTGATAAACATTGGGCTAAGCATTTACGTTGTAATAATAGTATTATAGTAGATACTTTTCAAGGACAATTTAAAAGTACAGTAAGTATTAAAATATGAAAGTTCCTTACCTAAATGATGGAACTTACGTTGGGGTGGCACTAAGTATAATTAGCTGTCACCGTGAAAAGTTTCCTAAATCAAAATACAGTAGATCTTTCTTGTTCTGAGAAGCATAAGAGACAAGTCTCATACTGCTGTTACAGATCATACTGCTAACACATATATACATTTATACACGTATGAGTTTTTTAACTCCACTTTCAGAATATATTTCAGTTTTATTACTAAACCACTTGATATATATATATTATACGTAATATAATATTATAATAATATAAATTTAACACAATATATGAAACGCATAATAATAAATTCGTATTTTGCTGCCATGGGGTAACCATATAAAATAAGCGTGGCATTCAACGTGTTAATAATTAGACTTAACATTACTAAATAAAAACTATTTTTATGGCCGTTCAATAATAAATAATAGGATAAAGAATATTACTTTATTAATTTGCTGCACTTCTTGTTTTATGGAATTGGCATATATGATTGGCTCATGCTACACACATATTATATAATTGATTGATATATCTTATTGAAATATTAGATATTTTAAGTAAGTTTTTATATGTTTAACAGGTTATATGTGCTGTCTGTAAACATGTTTCGGTAACGTACGAACCATTTATGTATCTTTCGGTTCCTTTACCTCGTGCAATGGAAAGGCAATTTACCATAACATATGTCCCAGCATATGATGCTCAACCTATAAGATGTGTAGTATCACTAAATAAACAATCGCGTATAGGAAAATTAAAGGAAGAATTGTTACATACTCTTGAGAAGGAAACAGTATCATTAGCAAATATTGCATTGGCTGAAATTCTTGAAAATCACATATCAAAAATTTTGGTGAGTACATCAATATATGTATCTGTATTTATAATCAGTTTTTAACCAGTAGACTTTTGCCTTTAATATAAATATATTATATATTATTATCAATATTATAATTAAAGTATAAAATATTCTTTCTGCCTATAGTCAAATCATAAGGCTTAATATGATTAACCCTTTTGATACTTATTTTATTTCAATTGTAAGAAATTTATTATTTGAAATAGTATTGTGTATGTGTGTTGTTTTTATATATATTAATATTATTTCATAATTGAAATACTATTATTCAAATATTATCTAGTTTTGAACATTATCCATAATCTAACTGGTCAGTTTATTGTTGGTTGACTTATGCCATGGCAAGTTAACATTTTTTGAACTTGTCAAGAATAAGTCAATAACTTGTAAATAATGAAAAACTTTTGACCTTTCGTCTTACTTATTTGTTCATGCCAAATTAAGATATATATTGTAAATTATTTATTATGCGAAATAAGAAAAAAAGAACAAAGACATTATAATAATGTTCAATTAAGATTCCATGAACAGTCATAATGATCTTAAGAATGTGACCTTTCATTGTAAATAAATGGAAACTAATAATAGTAGAGATATTACAAACCGAAACATTTTCTTTCTCATGTTAATTGGCTATTTATCATATAAAATGGAAGTACTTTATAGTTACCTTAACCACCGTTTACGCATAATCCATTAATTACCAGTGGTTATATGTAGGCAGGCATCAACTACAAAATTAATTGTGGAACATTGGTTTACTCTGCAAAGCAGAGTGACATTAAATTTTAGAATAATTTTAATTAATAACCTAACTATATTTTTTTAAGGATTTTCTTTCTGTGGTATAACGACTCATATTAATTTCTTACATCTATGCATTAGCAACATCAATGGTATTACAAACTATACGCAGCGAAAAATGCGAAATTATTCACTTAAAAAGACACTTGCGAAATAGAAATAAATGAATAATGGAGGAAAAAGAAGACGGTATTTTGATTAATCTCAATAACCGTCGATACTATCCTCCGATAAAAATTCTATGAAAGAACATTCTCATAGTGATGGAGACTTAACTATGGGGCTACATTCCATAGTACAAAATTAAAATCATTTTTAACTAAATGTTTGTTAAATTATCTAAATATTGACTATTAATTCATATCTTTATTTATTATACATTTAAGGATGATAATACATTATTGAGACACATCAATGACACTAATCGATCCATATATGCATTTGAATTGACGGATCCTCCTGATGCATGTACCATCCTATCTGACAGTGGTGGAGAGCGTTTAACAGAAGCTGAATCTTGTCAAAGAAGTACAGTTGCAAATGAAGCAATTCAATGTACAATATGCCTTGATGAAACAGGTGTTGGTTTGAAAAAACACGAAGCTAACAATTGCAACTTCATTATATGTGACTCGTGTATAGAAGTGAGTAATCGTATACAATATTATTTGGTCCTTAATTTAAATAAAAAATATTATTATTTTAATATTGTTTCACACACACACACACATACACATACACACATCTTCTAATATAATACCAAGGCCCATAAATATAAATATAATATTTCCTGCCTCTATCTTGCTAGATGTTGTTTTTCTTTTTTATTTTTGATGTTAAACCCCATGATGAATTAGGCAGTATCAATCTAGCAGAAGGGGTTAACATACGAGGTATTTAATTACCAATAATAAACCTCGGGAAGGTCTGAGAAAAGGTCTGTAAAAACGTTCTAGAAGGATGGCACTTTAAAGATGTGTATGGGAACAGAAATAGCTTCGTGTTACCAAATAAGCCAGGGACGTTTCAATATAAACAGAGGTAATTGGGAACACGAAGATGGAAACCTGTATGATCTGCTTTTGTAGCCTAATCTGTCAGCTGGTTTATTTTTATTCCAGAACTCAATTCAGACTAATCTGGTACTGCCTACTACTGAGGGTTTTTCTTATTTTAATTTTATTAATCATTATTATCTTTTATTTCTTTATTGTAATTAATTTTTTATTCCCTCAATTAAAAGATAAAATATATTGCTATGCTGTTAATTTAAAAAATGTTGTTTACTTTACTAAAAAAAAATTCAAGAGAATTAACTTAACTTTAGAAATTAAAATAACAATTACAAAGCATGCATATATGTTCATATATGATCAAGATTTTTTCCAATTATCATTTCTTTTTATGTTTACATTAAAATGGTCTATGATGTTTTCTATTCCTGTAGAAATATTGAAGTTACATAAGTGAGTTCTTTATAATTCACTTATAATCGATTTATCAAAAACTTTTAACACATTAAGCACCTTGTCAGTCACTGGTGACTGATAGTATATATTCCATTGTCCACGTTTATCACCAGTGACTAATATTCCTGTTTTTCTATGGCTGATAGATTATCGTGGCCTGAATGGAAATTTAACCAAAAGAAGCTCACTGCTTAATGTGCTAAACGAATCGGTGTAATAATTTGACTGAATATATTTTCTATCATATATATATTTATCATGCATTCTATATTGATGCTAATTAATTGACAGGTTATCCTATTTATATATAAATACTATGAGAAAATGATTACTTTTATTATCCAACAGAATTACTTTTCAAATCAAGTGGACCAAAAAACGTGCCCAGTATGTAAAACTCATATAACAGATTTTACCAAAGTGGATCACACCAGTCGACCGAGACCTGTTGTTCGAATTTTGAATGTTCCTTTGGTTTTAAGACACGATACTACTTATGAAGCATCAAACAATCTTAAGAGTACAAACCTATTTGGTCACCCATATTTAGTTAGATTACCGTCAAGAGTAAATGCTAAAGACTTGTACGATGTTGTTAGGAAAAACATACCGCAAGAAGGACATTATACTGTTCATTTTGTTGATGGGCAGGTGAGGATTTTTCTTCTCTAAAATTTTATCTAGATTATATAGGTATGTAATTAACTAATCATAAGGCATATAAAAAAAAAAAAAAAGAAATAAAAGCAATACAAAAGCGTATAAGTGAAATGAGAATATATTTTAATAATAAATCCATTCATTTATGAATACTACATTCAATGTTCATTTTTTATTACAGGGTCATCACTGCTCTCGATGTATGTATAATAAACCTTGTAAGGGTTGCAGTGTACCAGAGTCTGGTATAATAACTCTACAAAATGGTGATAACCTTGCTGTTTGTTATACCGAACATGTTCCTAAAACGGCATCCCCAATTGATCATACTAGTATTACAAAACAACATGATCCTTTATCATTATATGAATGCTTACAAGCATTTAGTCAAAGGTAACATCATCATTGATTAAATTATTATACTATAACTAATTTAAAGAAAATAATAATACTATTTTGTTCTATCATTTATACAACAGCGAAACTTTGGATGAACACAATCCTTGGTTTTGTCCCAAATGTGAACGGAATCAATGTGCTACCAAGACTCTAACAGTTCATAGGTATCCCAAGTTCCTCATAGTTTACTTAAAACGGTAAAAAAAAAATTAATGTTATATATATAAATGAATTATATTATTTTATATACGTTAAAATATCTGACATTGCATTCACATGTTTCTAATTCGTTACAGATTCGTATTTTATGAGTGTACTAGTTTAAAGCTGGACGATAAAGTTACATTCCCTTTAGTTGATCTTAACATAGGTCGTCATTTATATGATCTTTATGCTTGCGTATGTCATTTTGGAGGTATGTATAGATACTTTATTTTTTAAATAATATATAATAGTAGATATACAAGGTTGATTCACCTAAATGTGCTACCTAAATTACTTATAAACAGTTTGTTATATGAAAATTCAAAAGTATCTTTAATAATAATATCCATCCTATCCTTTATCTGCTTCATGACAAAATGTACATTTGTGTTGTAATTGGTCCGTACAATGATCTTATTCGTAATGCAAGTATCCGCGTTCCAACGAAAAACGTATTTGTATATTGAAGGAATTAAAACATTTTCTCATATAACAAACAGTATATAAATACCCATTGCTGCTTTATAAATGCATAATTGAACATTTTAGGTGTATCAGCAGGACATTATACTGCATATGCAAAAAATCCCCGTACTGACGTATGGTATTATTATAACGATGACATTACTAGTAAACAAATACCACAAGAAGAGGATTTTAGTAATGCATACATATTATTTTACAGTCGACAAGGAGTCAATTTAAAATCGTGCAATTTATAACCGCTAAAGTACCTAACCGGTTGGTACAAATCTCCGGTCAGGCAGACGATAATGAAAGAGCAAAAGTATTTTCAATCAAGCATCATTATTCGTTCAGCGATCATGTCAAAATGGTTTTTAGATCGTCGATCGTTTTCTTTTTTATTCCTGTTCTCGTTGTTATTGTTGTTCTTTCAGAAACTTAAATTACCTTCTTAACTCGGTATTATGAACAGAACAACATTTACATGCAAGTTTTAAAAAGAGAAATAGAGGAAATAATGGATCATATGTTTTCTCTAAAATAATTGTATCGTTGATACAAGCATGCATTAAACGTGGTATGATCTACTTTTTAAAAGGTCTGAGCATATTTATACTGCACAGTCTGTAAATGTATATCGAATTTGTACAGTAGTTAATTAATGTATATATTATGAAGAAGCATAATTTATTAGCGAATAAAACATGAAGGTTCTAACAAGTAGACTAGTATATTCTTTTAATTAGAATTTCAAAAAAGTATTTTATTTTTATTGTTATTATTGTTGTAAAATTTGTTATCTTAGTACGTGCAAGTACATTTATTAAAAAAAAAATATCTTGTATGTTTTATTAAGATTATTTTGTTTTTTCTTTTATTATTATTTTTATTTTTAAAAAGTGCAAGAATATATACACTTATTTATCGTTATCGTTGCCAAGCTTTATATTTTGACATAATACACTTATATATACGTATCCCATAAAATTTGCAAGTATTGTTACTTTGTCCCCTTTTTCTTCTCACTTTTAGTTTTCTTTTTGGGTTTCTTTATTTCAGTTTCAGCAAAAGCATTTGGGATTATTATTCTTGGAGGTGAATCAAACTTACGTAAAGGTAGATAATTTCGTGGTAATTTAAACTCAAGTTCAAGGCCATTTTTCAAATCATCGTTGGGCATGATTTGTCTTATTGATTTTAATAAAAACATTTTTTCGTCTGGACCCTTCGGAGGTGGTTCATCGTTAGAAATAATATTCACTCTAGTGCAACCTTCTCGACATTTTCTACCTAAAATAAGAAACGTGATTGGGCCAATTTATGCAGAAATTGACCAGCCCTCTAAATAACTAAAACTTGATTTTGAAAAGCCCTATGTGGATCTCATTAATTTTATAATCTTTATTTCACAAAAAATGAATACTCTATACTTTCCTCTCTCTACAGAACACTTTTTATATTATATAGTTTATAAAACTATTCAGACTATAATTTCATTTTATGCTTATATACATAAAAAAAATGTTTAATATTAATTAGATGAGTATTAAGAAGGACGGATGTATAATATATTTTATAAAATTTACAAAAAAACAAAAATAATTAAAGAAAAACATGGTGCACCATACAGCTTTTCGTTTTGAAAAATAAATAATAAGAAAATAATTGATTAACTGTTAACACAAAATAGGAGAGTAATTATGATAACAATTTATAAAATGTAATATGTGTCCCTTTTAGATATCCATACTTCATAATTTAATAATATATTCAATTAACTTATTTATATATAATTTAAAATTATATATATACTATTTATTATTAAATAAGTTTTTAAAAAATATTGTAAAATATTATATTTTTTAAAATTAACACAAAATATTCAATAAAAATAAAGTTACTTTTTTTGACAAAACAAATCAATTTACTCGATTTCAAATTATTGAGGATCGGTGATAACTTTCTGTATAATTTGATTCATTTAATATTTTTTATCATTTAAAATTAATTTAAAAGCCCTAATAGTATCTCCATTTTACCGTATGCATCCGCACAATTAATGTCAATGTTAGAAGACTTTGTTAAACAACTTTTGACCGATTTGATCGAGGAAGTATCTTTAGCCACTTTAATGGATATACGAGTATCACCAATTTCTTGAGATACCTCGCTATATGGAGATTCGACATTAACGAGTGGATGATAACATTTTGAGCAAATACATTTGTTATTCATTTTTGATCAAATAATCCAAATATAATTGTATAATATTTCTCAAAATCTTAGAGGAGTATTTTGCTCATGCAAATTGCAACTTAATGCATAATGTGATGGTTTTTTCTGATGAAAGTTACATTATATGTTACAGAAACGTAATTTTAATATTTATGTACTTATCATTTAATTTACGCCATTTTGAAATATTTGAATAACGTGATGTAATAAAATTAAAAATTAATAAAAATTAAAAAAAAAAATATATAATATCATGCAAGATAATAACAACAGATCAGATTCTTAACATTTTAAATGTAATTTCTTTTCTGTGAAAGGATAAATCTTTTCAAAATTAAATTTTTTCATTTAAAGACGTTTTCTCTTTCTACATGTTAATACATGTTAGTAGATGACAAATATATTCGTAATAAGTAAAATACAGATTAATTTATTTAATGTTTACTTAGTATTTTGTATTTTATGTTATTTTTATAAGAATAAATAATTGTTGAATAAATTATCCGATTTTTCATTATGTATTTATTATGACAAAATTCGTTCAAATTATGCCTGCAAATCAAGATTCTACTGTAATTAAATTTCACTCTTGCATTTTCTTTAGTTCATGACAAATAACAAAATTCCGAGAAAAAGTTATTACTTCTGGATCTGATAAATAAGGAATCCCTTTCGGTGGAAACCCCCTTCTTTTGAATGATCCCAGCAACATTTCCTGTACTATTCTTATTATTGGTCCTTGGTGCATCATTAGCGATCGCTCATTGGCTGACACTTCAATTCAATTTTGCCAACGTTATTTTTGCGATCAAAAAGAAATCTTAACAATTAATAAAATAAAATAACCATTATCTTGCATTTCTGATAAAGATAATACGTGATAGTTGAGAAACGGAATTAATATTATCTGTCAATAAAAGTACTTTCAAGAAATATATTTAAAACAAAACAAAACAAATTTTATTGCAATAAAATATGGGTATGAAGTTTTATATAGTTATTATGATTACGAGAAAAAAGACTTTGTCATTCATTAATATTATTCTTCTACAGGTTCGTCACAAAGTACTGAGCACAATATTCCGAAAAGTGCATATGCAAAAGCACAAACAAAATCTTCGGAGGAATCGAATAATACTGAATGCAAAACACAAATTTACCCTACCTTACATAAACCAACTTTAACACATAGTAATGTGGAATCTACCAATAAAAATGTTAATTCTACAAAAAATATACGTGATGTTACACATTATCCACAAGGTCAGAATATTTAGAAAAAAGAATAGTTTATATATTAAGCTTAAAATTTTTCAATCCATTCATGCACTTCATTGTACGAATAACAATCGATTTAATTATAATCAAATATCTACATTCTTTTGTATAATGGGTTTAAAAGAATCAAATTCATAACTATGCTATAAATTGATTAAAAATTAAGTAATTTTTTCATCCGAATGGTTTATAAATAAAATACATATTTAATAATAAGGAAAGTGGAATATCCAAAATTAAACGTTTTTAAATATTAACAAATTCATAATTTGGTAATATTTAAATGGTAATACGTAATGCATTTTTAACTTCGACTTTGTGTTTGAATAGTACTATATCCCCCTGTATTTGCATTTATAGTAACATTTGTATTATCAATTTTTTCAAACACAGATGAAATACTATCATTGTCACTCATAATTTCAAAACCTGAATTATTTTTATACATAATGTGACCCATTATATATTAGAATAAACGCTCATTTGAATTATCTACGTTCAGATACTTGACATTACAAATAATCTACATTCTACATTGTACTATTTATATTATTACTAATTATAATTATAATTGGCTGCATTTTGATTACTTATCATTATATTTTTTTCTTTTATATTAACATTCAAATATTCTTATAACAAAGAAGAATTGATAAATCATATACAAAAAAAAGACTTGAATGATGGCTACGTACATCATCAACAAAACTCTTATGAGTTTACTTCATCTTCTCAAGAAAAGCCAGTAAAACAATTAAATTTAAATAAAGAAAAAGTAAACAATGGTTTTTATACACATATTAAAGAAACGCCTAGCGCACCAAATAAAGATGACCTTTTATTGGAAACTATGTATAGACCGCCACCAAATATAAAAAACTTAAAAGAGTTTATAAAAAGTTGGAATATTTGGAAAGAAGAAATGAGATCATTTTTAATACTTGTGGATTATAATAAGAAAGATTATCATAAATGGGGCACTTTTGTTTTAAATCGCATGGGTTCTATCAGTCATGAAATACTTCAATACTTAATATTCGATAAGGAGGACGATAAAAATAATTTTTCAGTATTAATCGAAAAATTTGATGCATATCATAAGTTCGTTACGAACGCTAAATCTGAAAATGAGAGCGTTATAAATTATGTAGAAAGACTTAAGGTATGTTATAGATGAAATAAAAAGTGCGAATGTGATATACATATACCTAATTTTTAATTTATATTTTTAAGGTTGATTGTATTAAAAATATAAAAAATATCGACAATATGGTAAAGCAAAAATTAGAAAAAGATATCGAAAATCTTTGTAAAGAACGATTCATTGCAATAGCTAGTTCTAAGATGCCAGATTTCAAATTTGAAAAAACATTTCAATCTTTAACGATAGCAGAAATTGCTTTTCTATGGGATTTATGTGATAATTCCATTTGGGAAGAAAATAAGATTTGTAAATACTGTGGCAAGTTTCACCCAAAGAATAAATGTTTTGCATTTGGAAAAGAATGCAACAAATGTAAAAGAAGAAACCACTTCAGTAAGTATTGTCCTGGTGTAATGTACATTAATAACTGCAGCTTTTGTGGAGGAGACCACGGAGTAAAAAAGTGTTTAGCTTACGACGAAAAATGTTCTAAATGTAACAAACTGCATCACTTTTCATGGATGTGTTCTAAAATAACAATGTTACGGAATTGCAAATTTTGTGGTCTGACTCACGTGATGGATAGAAGCAAATGTCCAGCACTAAAGAGTTTGTGCAGTATTTGTAGAGCAACTGGACATTATGATATAAAATGTCCTAATTCGAATGTTTGACGTACAATCGAAGGTAAAAATGTTGAAAATTTACAATTTGTAAAAATCAACATTTTACAGCATGTTATGAAATAAAAATAATAATGTCAATGCTAGAAAAGAATGTATAATTTAAAAAAAAAAGAGATTATTTTACCAATAATGATGTTGAATTAAATAAGAAATGATAAATAATATGAAAAAATTTTAAATAACTTTTAGCGCCTTGATTTTAACTTTAGGACAAAAACAATTTTGATTTAAATCTTCATCAAAATTCTGAATGTCGAAATACTAATAATGCTTAAATATTAATTATGACATTTAAATATTACTAAGTTTCGATCATTTCCAATGAAAAATATTTTTTTAATGTTAATTATTTAACGTTCAGAAAGAATTATTTTAAATTGCAATAACTTTTAAACGACTTAATAGATCAATGTGAAATGTTCACAGTGGCTTAAGCATTAAATAAGAAACACTCTCTTAAATTTTCATTCTCTTCAGCATTTTGACATATATCTCCTAAACATCCTTAATATAAGAGATATAATTATTTGGTATTAATCGACACGTTTATATATTTCTACAAATAATCAATTCACGGGTTGTATAAGTTTTAACATTATGTCAATATTCATATACTTTATAACCATCTATTATATTTATCATTTTATTCCGTATTTATATTATATGTAATTTTGAAACCTGCAATATATAAATTTTTACTTATATTTTCAATAATTTTTGTATAAATTAGCGAAAAAAAGGAAGAATAAAATTGATAGAAATAAATAAGATAAAACACCAACATTCCCTTCCAATAGATAATCAGCCCTAATTATAATTATTTTATATTAAAAAATTGTATTAGATAATAATACTTTAGCATGAACATAATATATAATAGATAGTTATGCTCTATAGTAAAAAAAAAGAAATAAAAACAACTTAGTTTAACACAATAAACTTGAAATAAAATCTAAGACGAAAAGAAAAATAAAAAAACAAAAAAGATAAATAAAAGTTAGTGAATTAAATTGAAAAATAAAATAGCATATTCTATGGTGAATATAGTGTTTTCTTGAACAGACCACTCCTTGTGGATTGCAGACGCGACCAACCGAAATCGTTATCCTTTAACCATCGAACGAAACAGGGTTTATGGGCGTTTTGTTAGGGTATTGTTCATACGCCGGCGCAGAATTCCAGACAGCATAAAGAAACCGGAGGATCCGTTTTCTCCTGCTCATAACGATTCGAACAGTATTCTGTGTAGGATCATCCCAAGAGATAATATTTTAATAAAATAATATATATAATATTATAACGCATATAAATCAATCATGCCTCCTAAAACTAGTGGGAAAGCAATGAAAAAAGCTGGTAAAGCTCAAAAGAATATTAGTAAAACTGACAAAAAAAAGAAACGGAAGAGGAAAGAAAGCTATGCCATTTATATCTATAAAGTATTGAAGCAAGTACATCCGGACACTGGAATATCCAGTAAGGCTATGAGCATCATGAACAGCTTCGTTAATGACGTTTTCGAAAGAATAGCTGCTGAAGCATCAAGATTGGCACATTACAACAAGCGTTCGACAATTACATCTCGGGAGATCCAAACTGCTGTCAGATTATTGTTACCCGGCGAATTAGCTAAGCACGCTGTAAGTGAAGGTACAAAGGCGGTTACCAAATATACTAGTTCCAAGTAATTATTATTTTATATGTTATTTTACTTTTTTTTTTCTCCCCACTTTTTTCTATAGACATACATTCACACACACACACACACACACACACACACGCACACACACACACATATATATATATATATATATCAACGGCCCTTTTAAGGGCCATTTCCTTTCAGAAAAATTCCTCACATTGCTTTATTTTCATAGATTTCAATTTAATTAGATTTTCGCGAATTTAATGTTTATATATATATATGAATGACTGAATATTAATTATATTCATATTGACAATTTTTATATATCCTCTATGTTCGTATTTTTTTTCTCTTTCTTTTTTGCACATATATATTAATATTCCTTTGCATATATATATATATATACATACATATACATATATTATTTATTTCCTATTGTATCGTCTTGATGACCAATAAACACACTGTTATAGATGTAACTTTATAATATAATCTTAAGTACATTATATGTCCAAGTTTGAAATAAGTAGTGCGAAAAATGACTAGCATTTGTTCAAACTGTCAGAATTCAATTACCAAATTACATTATATTTCTTAACAACAAGATACGCGTATCATATTATCGAATTGAGTTTAAAAGTTTGTAATCATTAATAAGTTTTCTTTTTTATATATCGAGCAAATTGTCTCTTAAGTTTTTAATTTATTTTTTATTAATATTAAGATTGTAATAACTAACTACCTTTATCAAACAAAGCTTAAATATTTATTATTTGTACATTGATAAATTCTAAAGGATCTTGAAAAATGTTACGTAAAATTAATGTAAAGCTAATGCAAGCTAAATTGTAATATTATTTTCTTCCTTATTAATTAATGTTGTTGCTATGTAATACGTACTATTATGCATTTGCATAATACCATATAAGATAAAGGAATAAGAAAATTCATTTCAATTTATATACAATATTCTAGCGGATTATCCATTATCTTATATTTGAAATACATATTTACATAAATATTATTATTTTCAAGTTATATAATACATACTCTGTACTCTCTTATCCTCTATTTTTACTAAATTACTATTATATATTATTATACATTCATTTGATAATATAAATTAATAACAATAATAAACTTTTATATAATATTAGACTCTAACAATCATTAAAATCAGCAAAGGTGGGTAAAATACTATTTTTTTATTTTCAATCGTGATGTAGGGATGTTGAAATTTTTTCATATAGTATTTTATTTAAAATATACTAAACATATTTGTGTTGCGATTTGGAATGTTTAACAAAGTATACATACAAATATCGAAAGTTCTTACGTTACCGAGTTTTACATTACATTAATCGTGTTAACAATTTATTTTTAGACTAAGGATTGTTCAGTATATAATACTTCAAATTTAAATATGAAGTATTTTATTTAATACTTTAGATTATATATATACATATATCACAATAAAATAATTTATTTTTTATTTGGAATACTATTATATTTCAATTGTGAAGAATCTACTATTTAAAATAGTATTTGAAATATTATTTCCATAAATATTATCCAGCTTTGAAAATCAGTAATAGTATTCTTCTGTTATGACTAGGAATGGCATAATATTTTTATGTAATATTATAGGTATATATGCATAAATATGATAGAATAATTATTCTAATTATTTCCTCAACATAATAATATCAGTTAAATTGTAATGCACCTTAAAATATATTAATATTTCATGCTGATTGGTCGAGTAAACGAATAAATAGTCTAGTACGTGAATGATTGGTTCATTTAATGTGCGTCATATTATGAAAATAGCGATCTCTGGTGTTAATGTGAGTTGACAGATAACAGTTGAGATTTTTAACAAAGCAGAAAAAGAGAATACCGAAATTAAGTCTTATTATAAGAGTTCATTAAAAAAAGTAAACCTATTACCGCAGAAAAGTTGGCATAGAACCTCAACAGCAGAAAAAAATGAATAAGTACTCTTAATTGCACATTTAAAATTTATAATTGCACACTTTATTAATTAATTATTTAATTAGTTATTAATAATTGAAAAACCAAAAACGTTTTTCTCATTTCTAAGCAAAGCAATGAAGTTTTCTATTGTTTTTTGTTTTCAATCAATTGCTGACTTTTTGTTTGTCCGGCTCCTCAACTTTATTTTATCAAATATATTTTATTTATCGTTAATTAGTTGAAAATAATTTGTACACTTTGAATAATTATGAAATGGCGACGTCATGAGTGGGAGATATGTTATACGCATGCGCAACCACAAATCAAGGAGCAGGTGCACTTTGGAAAAAAATGAAAGTAAAGTTGGTACACCTGCAGAGGATATATTTAAAGTTGATTTCCAAAGTAACAATTTATAGGGTAGTGAAAAGAAATAGATTAATCGTTCATAATGTATAAACAATAGGTAAATATTTTCATTTTTTCATTTTTTTCTGTTGTTACGGTTCTATATGCCAACTTTTTTGTGGTGATAAAAAATAATAATTAAAAAATAATAATAAAAAATAATTTGTGTTTTCGATTTTTCAATTATTAATACCTAGTTAAATAATTAATTAATAAAGTGAGCAATTATATGGATTTTGATTAGGCAATTAGTAAGCAATTAAGAGCACTTATTAATTTTTTTCTGCTGTTGGAAACTTCGTTGCTTTGCTTAGAAATAGGAAAAAAAATTTTTGTATTTTTATTTTGAATCAAACAATTCGTTCCTTCGAAATCATTAAAAGTAATGAAGATATCACTCTGAAACAGAATTATTAAGACATTCTATATATTAGGTCGTGGATATGATCATTGAAAATAGCAAATTTCAAAACAAAATTAAAAGTATATTTTTATTGAGCCAACAACCTCGCCTCATTGAAAAATCTTATTCCCATATAATCCTTAAGGTTTAGCAACAATGATCACGGTTAATACTTGGTTGGGTGACCGTTTCGAAACATCGTATGCTTTTTACTCCGGAGGTGAGAAGACGGTCTCTGTGAAAAAAAGGTGAGGATTGTGTTGTCATAAAAAATTTTCTCAAACTAATAAAGGAGAGCATAATAGTGGCAATATATATACTGGTTCTACTTATTCTTTTTAAATTGATTTATGCGTAGCATTATACCTGTAATTGTAACTACGCGAATACTTAGAGAAAGGGAATGTCCAATGTTAATAGACTCCACGATATAAATCAAAATCAAACGAACAATGAGCATATAGTTCTACATAATAAATTATTTCTCTTCTAATAATATCAAATAATATTATTTGATAACAGAAATCATAGGAAATTATTTCTACGTAATATAATATTAATTAATAAATTTAGTATTATTAATATAAATTTTTCGAATATATAATTATTAGGAGGAATTCATAATTATTATATACAAATATGATACCGTATAATATTTGGATATTTATGGAAGTATTAAATGCATTTAATTAATAGAAGTATATACAGTGAGAGAGGAAGAGAAAGAGAGACAGAGAGAAAAAAAAAGAGAGAAATTTGTGTTTTTTTTTTTTTAGTTTATTTATTTAACATAAAGTTAGACGCTACAACTTTGGTACAAAAACATAAAATAGTGGATATTGAGGAAACGGTATACCGCGCGCGGATCCTCGAGTCTCTACGATCGCGGAGATATGAGAGAATGAATGAAAAAATTCTCCTAATATATAATCCCATCAGCAACAAAACACAAAGAAAAAAGCACATAGACTTAATATATGAAAAAACAACGACGAATAAAGATAATAAAAGTATAGTGAAATAACAGGAAAAACGACATACAACACTCCGTCCGTGGTAAGCTCGAAGAACCGCGTTCGCTTATTATTATTATTAATATTATTATCATCATAAAAAAGGAAAAAATGTGAAATGCACGCAGTCGATTAAGCTTTCACGACCTACACATACATATATATATATATATATATATATGTATATTGATCGATCATCACGATCGTTTTCACAGCATTTCTTAAAGTAATCGTTGCGGGAAAATAAAATATTTCATATAAAAGTGTTATTTTCGGATTTTTTGATAGTGCGCGTCGTTAATGACAAAAAAAAGAAGTCACCCGTTTAATGATCTAAGCGACATCGCAATCATCACAAATTTTCCTTAATCCTGCTTATTCTTAAAACACCGACGACAAATATGTATAACGCCTAAGTTAGTGCGTGTAGGTCGATTATAGCGTATGGCTTTGCGAAGTTTTTGTCCTTTCCTTACCTTTTTTTTCCTTATTTCCTCTTTTTCTGTCACACTAGCATCATCATCATCATTATCATCATCATGATTTTCAAAAGTTAGAGATTCGAAAAAGCAGTAAAAGCGTAAAAGCTCCGCGAGCGTTGTGTGATTAAAACGTGATATACGTTATTTGTAAAAGTGACTTGGATATGGCTATATTAATCTGATATAGCGTGATCGTTATTATATTATAACAACACATACACAAGACTGCGCAAAAACCTCTAAAATCACATCGATGAGTAAAGTGCTGTGACGACACCGAGTCGGAACCGGCTGGCCGCATATTACAATATTATATGGACAATTTCTAATCGTATCCTAATGGGATATGAAAATTCCTGTGATCTAATATAAAAGGGATTCTTTTTCCGTCGTCCACGACGAGAAATAGAAAAAGAAATAACGTCTTTTGTTACGCGCATTAATAATATCAGTAATAGTAATAACAGTTAGTTAATAATAGTAATAATAATGATAATAATAATACAATCATCGGCCAACCGGTGTTTGTCTCGTATCATCGCCTCGGCAAATGAACGCGACACCTAGAGATATCCTACTTACAACGTATGTATATGTTACGTTAATCATATGTATATATATATATGTGTATATATATATATATATATNAATATTTTATTTTCCCGCAACGATTACTTTAAGAAATGCTGTGAAAACGATCGTGATGATCGATCAATATACATATATATATATATATATATATAGATATATTTATATTTAATTATATAATATGTATATATCTAGAAATAGTGACGTGATAAAAACAAACTATGAGACACACACCGTCGTCACACCCTTGCGCGACGTCGATCATGCAACGAGATTAGCCATTTGAAAGACGAGGAAACTAACTAAGAGCCTAGACACTTTGAGAAAAGCACTATGGAATCCTACAAGAGGATACTTTCACCAGGAAAGTCCGCTTTTCTCTACTTCGCTTCCCTTTTCTTATCAAAGGTGATGGTCCTTTATCGATCGACGACGATCGACGTATCGTTAGGGTGCGCAAGAAAATCGGTGATTATTGTCTCGCGACCATCCGCCCGACCTAATACCTATCTACTTTTCTTTTATTTATTCACTCATTATGCTTTGTTACTTATTCGATTCACTTATTACGTCTCTAATAATCATCGTCGCGTTATCCTTCGAACTTCGACTCGAGCAAAAATGTTAGCGCGGCTAATAGAATAGGTGTGATTAGAGCAGACTAATTAATTATTATCGGTAATAGATACGCGTAAATCTATAAATACGTATACACGAGCCGAATTCACATCATACACGTATTTATATATGTATATAATTTATATATATATATATATTTTTTTTTTATGTTAGGACGATTAAGAACCGACAGCAAGTGTTGCTTGTTATGTGAACATGTGTATTGCAAAAGATTGTATGAGAGTGTAAATGTGTTTTTTTTTTGTTTTTTAATGTGCGCGTAGCCTGTAAAGAGAGTACGTAATGATGATTATATTTGTGTTTCTTTTTTTTTTTTTTTTTATATATATTTTTAATTTTAATTATTTTTTCCGATGGCGTGCCGCGTTCTTCCTTCGGATAAGTCTATCGGCGAGAGTTTTGAATTTAGATTTCTTTCATATTTGGTTCTCATCGTTTTTGTTCAACGGACGACTACGACGACGACGACGACGACGACGACGACGACGACGACGACACGACACGACAATCTCTACACTTGCTCTCCGCGACATTGAGACTCGATACATCTTCGACCCCCGGGGGGACACAACCTTCGTTACGAAATTATAAATCGTATATTATGTATATATCCGTTATATGTTATGTACGTACATATGTAACGTATATATGTATATATGCCTGCGGGTAGCGGCAGTGTGGCACAACCATGACTTAAAAGCGAGTAACTAATCTCATGTTATCGTCCCGACGCGTCCAATAGGACGAGACTTGACTTTTAATCTAGGATTTCCCGCGTAAAACCCCCGGAAAATGAACCGTCGCCGAGAGCACGCTTCTCTTTTCTTCTTCTTCTTCTTCTCACGATCTTTTGTCTGTTTTTTTTTTCTTTTTTTTTTTTTAAATTTTAATTTTAATTTTATTTTTTTGTCATATTTGTTGATTTATATTTTTGTTGTATGCTATTGCCTTATTGGTTATTTCGTTATGTTTCGCTGTCGTACGAGAGCGTCCGCGAACCTGTGCCGGGTGTCACGAATCGCCTGAGATCCGAGAAGAGACAATTTATATCTTAAGAACTCTCTAATCGATTGTTATTATTTTCATTTCTAGCCGTCGACCATTCGACCTCCTTCGTCCTCGTTAGGCAGTTAATTATAGAGGCAGTTTAGAGTCTGGCCTTTGATTAAATAATGAGCTAGAATTAAACGTCAATGCTACTAAATAATGATAAAAAAGAATAAGGAAAAGAATATTAGAAATAAGATATAAAAAGATAAGGCCGACGGGGATATAAAAGTCATTCGAGATATGGTCATAGATAGACGAAGGAGGTAATCTTCGTCGCGAGGACGATGCTCGTTGTCTCGTACGTATATACATACATCTGATAAAACGTGTGCACAACCCTTTTAAAAATTTAATTCATCGAATTCTAGAATCTATTCGCGACGATGTTATTTTGTAATTTTTTTTTTCTTTTTTTTCATTTTTTTTTCCTTTTTTTTTTTTTAAAATCATTAAAATCGTTGCAAATTGGACCGACGACAGCACCGGGGGAAGAGTTAGCGTGCGCTTTGTTTCCGTATCTCTCGAGTCTTCGGTCGCAGTCAACGAGAGAATCGGAAAACCATGGATGATGATGGATTTACAGGTTACACTGCCACAGTATCGTAGGGTGTGAGGAGTCCCCCGTGACCGCCGTGGGGGCTGCCGGTTTGCCGGCCGGGGGCTTCGTTTCTGCAACATCGATTACAATTTTGAGAAATATTCTTCAAAACTATCAACTTCCCTTCCTTTCTTTTTTTTTCTTTCCAAAGAGCACTTCCATCAACTCTTTTTACATCCTCGTACAGATGCGTACAACACTGCGAAAAGCGAAAGAATTACTCGAGCAATTATTAGAATATAAGCAAATTTAATCCGTTGCGTCCTAAAAAAAAATAATTGTATAATAATTTATAGCGGCATCTGTACGTGAACAAAAGATTTTTATCCATGCACTAGAATTACAGCAGCAATGATGGATAAGTATCAGTTAAAATACTAATTACAAATGTAAGAACTTAGTAATGTTAATTATTAGGAGTCTAATAATGTATGATAAATGATTAGCATGTTAGCACAGCAGGGTAATGTAACGATGATGGTAACAGCGTATAATATATGGTAATAATATAGCATGGAGCGTAGTAGAGGCGTTTTTATAATTATTTCTATTGCTAATCGTCCCTAGATTGTTTAAAAAAAAGAAAGAAAAAAAATTAATTAATTAATTACGCTAAGAGCATCGGCCACCAAAAATTGCATGCAAAACATCATGTTCGCATAGAGAAGTCTTTCGTCAACGTTGGTAATATCAAGCAATGTTTTGTAAGCGTCGGCTGGCCTGTTTTTTTGTTTTCTTTTTCTGTTAAAAAGTTTAACTATCATAGATACAGCATTTGTAAATATGTTTTAACGAAATTGCGTCTATCTTTATAGGAACACACTCTGTACTGTTCTACGATCAAGAAACTTACGGCTTCCTGCGTAAAGAGTCATGAAACAAGAAAAAGACAGAGATAAAGACACAGCATTAAAATGTATTTGTAAAGCCTTCAGCTAATCTACCGTGCACTCGATTATTTTTTCATAAATTTATTATTTTTAATATAATTGATAAGAAAAAATGGTATATTTCGAATGTTTAAGGAAGAAATGCCGAATTGAAGTAAAAGATGAGTGATTGAAAGACGATTAATGATCTCTTAATATGATGATGAAATGAAAAATGAATTTGATGATAAGATGAGAGAAGATAATTGGATTGGCTATATTTGAGATAAATTTAAAAAATGTGAATTTTGAATCGAGGTACAATATCAAAAACGATAACTCTCGTGTCGCTTGATCGCGAATCAAACACATTCGCTCTCTACTGACCTCTCTATGAGTTTACGCATCTCCTCGGTGGTCATGCCGTCCTTGCCGCGAGCATTCACTGAAATAGAAAAACACACGGCACGATTGACACAACGGTAAACTACTACGACAACACGTAGCATGCAAATAGTGGAAAGCTATACGATTAGAAACACAGAATTTGGAGCGAATCTCTTCCATTCGTATAAGTGGTGATTCGCTCGACATGCGATATGTCCGCGCATTGTACACCTAGTATCTAATGATGTCTAATGAAACGAGCAGTTCGAGAGAACCAAGAACAAATATGAGAAAATAAAACTCGACGATCCGAACGCAAGTCAAGCTTGCTCCCTGTTTTTCATTCGGATACAAAATCGAGCATTTTTCTCCTTCATCCTCGCCACTTCATTCCTCATCAGGATTCATTGTACTGACCGCCATAGTTGCGGTTGACAAGTTGATCACGGTCACATTCTGCTTCGCTGATTTCGTTGCTTTCCTTGCTGTCGTTGAAACTCGAGTTATTCTGATCGTGATTCCTTGGTGGTGGTGGAGGTGGTTCGGGCGATCCAGAGCTTGGTAAATTGCGAGCAGATCCAACGCTACGACGGCCGACTGATCCACGAGAGCCATAGTGATCGTAAGGAGCACCGTATTGTCCATATTGAGAGCCGTATTGATCTTCTTCGGGAGCGCAATTAGCAGGGTCGTCGTATTCAGGAGAGAAGACATGAGTTCCGCTGCCACCTCCTTGGGATGGTACTCTAGAGTAACGACCATTTTGACGAGGCTGTAAAAAACAAAATTTAAGAATAATACAAGTATTATAAGATCAATTTTATACGTGTTGTTTTGACAGACTCTATACCATAGATTGAGATCCAGAGCGACTGTGAGCAGAAGCATTAGTCGGATGTCCAACTGGTGGTCCCATAGTTCCGGAATGTCCATTACCTTGGTGAGGGAAAGTTTGGAATTGCATAGCCTTGCTTGGGTCCATTTCTTCACGGAATCCTAATAAGTGGAAAGTGGCGTACGGGCAGATCTCATCCTCCATGCCTGCAACAAGTATCGAGGGTAGACTCTGCTGCCATGAAGTTCGTATAGAAAATACATTTTCTATTTGTTACTAAATTCTACGATTATTATCTCCTCAATAAACAAATGAATGATATTGATGATATGTATACGTGCATCAATTTTCATGTTAGTAGTCTCGCTTGAACGTTCCTACTTTCATGCCCTTTTATATTATATATCTCCTTATTTATGTATCACCGAAGTGAAATATTTCTTTCATTGAGAAAACGAGAAGTAAAATATACTCGGCTTAACTGTGTTCGATGTGTAAATTGTGTGCTGGGGCGGATAACGAGCGTGGCATGCGATAACGTGCAACATCGATGAAGAATAACAAGAAGAACAAGAAGAATAAGATGAATAAGTTGTAGAAAGATAAGAAAGAGAAAGAAACGTATGTCTGCATTTATAAGGATTTAGAACCACGAAGAGGACTTACGAAGACCGGCTGCGAGACCGAGTGGCTGTACCGGCTGCAATTCGTCATTACCAGAATCGCGAAAGACGAAGGCTTGCGACGGGACACGGGGGAGAATGAGCCCTTCGTCCTAGAAAAACTACTGTTACCAACCTCTGTGAGAAAGACCCTCCGAACTGCCCATACGCGGTGGGGGTGGACACCTTCTGCTGGGTGCACAATGATTTAATTCCTCATACATGTGCCTCCTTGGATCCCACGTTGAGTGGCTTCTCAACGAACCTGTCGCACCTATCGAACATATACTACAACAATCGTACGACTCGCTGCCGCTTACCAAGCTGACTATCGAGATCTATTTTTTAACGATCGTTATTCTTTAAAGAAGGACACTGATATCAAAATTAGTGAAATTTCGTTAACCATGTTGGATTCTTGGTACGCGCAGCGACGTTATAAGCGCATACGAAGGAAAAACTTGTTTCATTTTAGTAGCAGGGTATACATCTTTATACGTAGATATATAGTATAATATGTGTATATACTTAGGTATGCAAAATATGTTTAAGCGTAGCCAACATAAATAATAGCGGAATCTAAACGGTAATGATGTAATGCGTGTGTATTGTGTTTGCTTGCACATTGGTTTCAACAAAGAATATCATCGTTTTGAAATTTTTGAACCGTTGGTTGGCTGTGCGAAATTTATGTGTTCCGTAAAAAGAAATAGTCAAACTATCTCGTGCCGATGCGACAACATTCAAACAGTTATAATGGAGAATCATCTAAATATCAAACTTTTGTCAGTTGTGGCTTACTTATCACTGTACCTCGCTTGATGCGATCACAGGTGTTATAGTTGGAGCCAGGAACAGGTGGAAGTTTGCGATTCGGGGGTGCGATGTATCCTAATTCGTCTCGGAGATCAGGCCTGCGTTTGTCAAGTGTAGCGCCACCAACACCGGTTTGTTGATATACTACGTCGTCTGAAAGTAGCAATAAACGTGTTCGTTCGTATTAATATTACTATATTATTAGCCAATGAATATGTACGATTGGCAAAGAATCACTGGGAGGATGATTACGATCAGAACATTTAAATTGATCAACACATTAGATATAATATTTGAAAATATTAAAGTCATTATTAATATTCTTGTGTCAAAATCACCACCATCGCAGTGATACTCGATTATTCGATTACTTTTCGTAATCTAATGAATAAAGTAATAAAAAAAAAATTGGTATACATTGTCCCTCGTAATATTTCTCGTCGGCTGAAGAGATACCTCGCAGCCGTGTTTGTTCCGGGCCTCGGGTTCGTCTAGATAATGCGACGCAAATGACGACAATTCCTACGATAATGACGACGATCGTAGCTCCAACCGGTACAACAACGTTAACATCGAGCCAACTCGGTAACCATGGGAAATAACGTCTGACGTCGGTATTCTCATTACCACCGTTACGTACCGGCGGAGCAATCGTACCTACATAGGGAACAAAAATAAAAGAAATTATTATTATTACCTTTATCACTACCATGGCCCTTTCCTCTTAGAACGCAGATCACGATGACGGCAACGATTATAACAAGAACTGCGGCTACCACAGGTACGACAAGATTCAAGTTAGCCATGAAAAATTTCACTGGATCTTCATCGTTGCCACCACCGTTAATGTCCGGTAATTCGCGGGCCGGTGCAATGGTGCCTGGAACAAAAAATACGGCGACCGTTCAATCCAGCCACCATTAGCACCGGCTACGAAATGCTTTCCAACGCATCAAGCGTAGTTATGTTATACCCACCTCCAGTTACAGTCAAAGTTGCAAATTCATATTCGGCTACCGCAAATCCGGCATTGTTATGAGCCGTAACTCGAAGATGATACCAGCTAGCAGGGTCCAAATCCAAAACTACGAAGTTACCGCCCGGTTTAACGTTATTAGATACTTGGTTCCATTCTTGTTGATGCCTAAAATAGGAGACAGACTTGGTTATTCCGAACTTGCCCCGTTAAACTTTTAATCCAATTTCTTGTTTGACTCTTACTTCTTCTTATGTTCAACGACAAAGTACAACATGGGGCAACCACCGTCAGACCAAGCACTTAAGTGAAGGGTAATGCTGTTAGTAGATACTTCAATAAATCTTGCTGCTTCAGGAATAATAGGTTTTGATCCTTTGGTACGAGTGTTCAAAATGTCTGATGGGTCTCCAGTTCCAATACTAAAATTACATTTACGTTGAATCATATCCGCTTTTATTGGATAAACCTCACTTATATAAGACTTATTATTACCTATTGTAAGCCGTAACATAGATCTGATATCGAGAGCCACACCATAAGTTTTCTAAAGTATACTTTTGTGCCGTGGAACTAATCTGAACGGTTTCCCAGTCACCAAATTCAGGTTTGTAATGAATCGTATATCCATGAATAGGTGCATTATCAGTTGGATGAGGTCGCAATTTCATTGTAAGCGAATTGGTAGTCGTGGCCGTTAGAGTAACTTGTGGTGAGTGTGGTGGAGCTAAAATCCAATAACCAAATATTAATAAAAAAAAACAAAACTTTGAAACTATTTTACAATTATTCATATTGACAATTACCATTAACAATGAGTTGATGAGTAACAGTATCATGTCCAAAAGAGTTTTCAACATAACACGAATATTCTCCAGCATCAGCACGGTCAACTTCTTTGATGAACAAGGATCCTTCGGGTAATTGTCTCAATCTATCGCTGGGTTGAAGAACAGAGCCTCGTACTTTCCATATTACTTCCGGTGCCGGTACACCAACAGCAAGACAGGGTAATTTTACATCTTCTTTGTAAGTCGCAGTGAATTTGTCGTCAAACGATGCAATCTTGGCCGGTACTATACATTAAAAAATAAAGAAAACAATAAATTAATATAAAATGCTTACTTTGTATATATTGTAAGAAATAAAAAACTAATCTTACCTCGTACACTTGGTCCTAATGTTACAATCTTAGAAGCTTCTCCTTCGCCAATGTTCGTGCTAGCAGTTACCCAGAATTCATATCTTCGTTGTTTGTCAAGTCCAGTGGCTTCGTAAGTTAACTGATTAGGTGGAACTTTTTGGCTAGTTGGTTCTTCTGCGTTGTCAGCTTTAGTATAAATAGTATATTGCGAAATAACTCCATTTGGTTGATTTGGTGGGCGCCAAGAAACAAGAATCGATTCAGGAGACATGACGAGAGCTTTAACGGCGATCGGAGCTTCGGGGGCTAAAGAAGAGAATAAATAAATTGTCAATAAATTAAATGAAATATTATTGATGCTTTCCAGATTAAAACTTACCATCTTGTTCAGTTTGACAGTGGATCGGTGCAGATTTCACGCCATCGCCACCAGAGGTAAAGGCCAAAACTTGCATACTGTAGTTCGTATATTTCTTCAAGCCGTGTAAAATCGTTTCGCTGGAAGAGGTAATCTTGGTATCTTTCGTATTTTCATCATACCAAGTATCAGATGGACCATAAATAACCTAAAAATATATGATGTTCATATATAGTCAATAATACGTTAATATAAAAATACGCAGTAAATATTTTCTTAATATATTTTTTATATAAAATATTTTATTACCTTGTAGCCAGTAATAACACCATTTGCAGCAATAAGAGGAGGCGACATCCATGAAACTCTGATAGTTTGCGAAGTGAGAGTAGTGCAAGTCGTATCGTGGGGTGGTTGTTCGGGTACACCTTCGGCCGTGTGTTGTCTTCGTTCTTCGCTCATCGGTCCAGAACCAACTTTATTGAATGCTTGAACAACAACGCTGTATTGGGTGTAGGTCTTAAGATTCATGATCTGCAAGTGATGTTCTTTTCCATCTTCCTTCGAAAATTCAACGGTTTCAAACATGTATGGTTTGTCAGAGGATGAAAGCCTGTAGCCGACATAATAGCCAAGAATTTCGCCGTTCCAATCTTCGCGTGGGGGTGGTTTCCAGGTTACCTATATATGTTTAACTTTGTTAATGATATATTTCCAATTGTGAATTAATGAGAAATTCAATTTCATCATAGTTACCTTGAGAGTATGTTGATCAAGAGCATCGACTCTAACAGAAGTTGGTGGGCCACTTGGAGCTTCTTCGGCGGTGATGATAGTTACAGTGTCAGATGGGTCAGACGTTCCAATTTCGTTTTCGGCAACAATTCGGAGATGATAAGTCGTGGCAGGTCTAAGATTGAACACACCAGCAACGTTTTGTTGAGAGCCAGGCACAAGTACCCTATCGATATCAGTTTCCCAGGAGCCCTTGCTGATTTTGTATTCGATAACGTATCGTTTAATGGGACTATTTCCGTCATATGGAGCTGCCCACGACAATTGAACCGAACGTCCAGACTTATCCAATACTTTAAGACCATAAGGAACTTCCGGTACCTCTGCAAGGAAATCGTATTGGTAAAAGTTACTTTACTATCGATTAAGATATAGAACTTTCGAACATTACTACGAAGACTGTACCTTGAACAATCATGTTGATGCTGGTATCATCACTTCCAAAAGCATTCGTTGCAACACAGGTAAACAAAGCCGAGTCACTCCTTTCAGTTCTCTTGATACTAAGGTCAGACAGAACACCATTAGCCAAAATTTCTTCTCGGATGGTATAACGCGAATCGCTTTTCGGGTCAAGTCTCTTATTGTTCATATTCCATAAAATGCCAATTGGTTTCTCGCCTTGTGCCTCGCATTGTAATACAGCTGGTTCGCCACGTCGTGCAGTTTGATTTCTGAGTTTGATCTCAAAATGGGGAGGTGCTGTAATTATCGATAATCTTAATGTAAGCAAATAATTAAAAAGAAAGAAAGAAAAAAGAGAAACTGAGATCTCACCTTGAACAGAGATGAGAATCACAGCAGAAAGTCCAGCTCCGATACCATTAACAGCCTCGCAAAGATAATAACCTTCATTAGTCTTTTGAATGTTATTGATCGAGAGAGTTCCATCTTCAACACTAATATCAGGATTGCTCAGTTTCAAGTCGGTATAATCACCAGGCGTATCTCCTATTCGATGAAAATCATCCGATGATGAATAAATAATTAGTATAGGTTCAAAGTAGTTAAGGAAACTAGAACTAAAACGAAAATACTAACCAGCAGCTCTCTTCCATGTGATCTGGGGCTTCGGGAAACCATCGGCTTTACATTCAACGCGTGCATCGGAGCCTTGTGCGAAAGCTTTATCGGTAGGTTCCAGAATCCAGCGAGGTGGTACTGTGACAGAATAAATCGATTAGAACTGCGTTCTTTTCCCTTAGTCTACTATAGCAGTAAACCGGAAGCAAATCGTTCCGACGTCCTAGATCTTTCGTCAACTACATTATTGGGCATTCAGAAGAAATATTTATCAAAGTATTACATATCAAATGAAATCCTGCCTGCATAAAGGCAGGCAAACAAAAAGATCCAGAACAGATGGGATTACGTTTATTGCATGCAAACGTCGATTCGCTTCCGCTACCGCAACGAGCAGAATGTACTACTAATAAAAGCATACGGGACTTTGAGATGACTATGCGGGTATCTACGAACATGAACCGAGAGTATGAAGATCGACGAAGTAAGGCTGCTGAAGGAGCTCACTGAGAGTACATGCAAGAAGTTCTACGATGTATGTACTTAAGCACGGCTTGCATGCTGTACCGCATTAAGAAATCATGTTAAGACCATATTTCATGTTCTTACTCGGAGTAAAAAGGGCTGTGAGAGAGACAGAAAGAGATAGGCTGAAAGAGTGAGTGAGAAAGATAGAGATAGTTAGAGGTAGATAGAGAAAGAGAAGAAGAAAGAAAGAAAAGCATGCATGTATCACTACAAACTACTTCCTTCTCATGCACGTACAAAATAAACGAGGCGAGACATGTGAGGTAAAGGCTAGGTAAGGCTGATACGGAAAGGTGCCTTAAGGAGTAAAGGTTGGAATGAATCTCGGAAACCCTCCGAGGGGTGCTGGAATGGTCGGTCGGTCGTCTTTGGAGCTGGGACGCGTTGTGGCTCGCGAATGTGGGGATGTACGACGAACTACTAACTTGATCGACGTTATGACGAGAGACGATGACAAAACAATACAAGAGACTTAACAAAACCTATTAGAATGACCTCGCGATATTGTGTGCGTGAAAGAGATAGAGAGAGTAATGATATATATATATATATATATATATACATATATGTATATATAATTTGTCGAGAATGATGAAGATCAAAGGAAAGTACAACGTGATGTATCTGTGTTCATCATGTGTATGTGTGAAAGAGAAATACAATACTTTTTGCGATCTTTCTTGACAAAATTAAAAAGCCAAAGAAAGGATCGTCGACAAATGTTGACGAAGAGGGCGCAAGAGAAAAAATGAAACGACATTTAATCGCGAAATTTAAACGAACGGCAAACACGAGGAAAGGCCGTTGTTGAGCTTGAGGATGACGGAGGTTTCGGTTCGATCTACCTGATCTTTAACGCTCGGCTTTAAGCTTGTGGACTCGAAACTGTAGCATATAAGATAAAAACCTAATAATAATGATAATAATAATAATATAAAAAAAAAATGAAATGTAGAGAAAAAAAAGATAGATGGCTAAAAGAAAAATAACAAAATTAAATAACAAAGGAAAGAAAAAAAAATGATAGAAATATGAGCAAGAAAGAGAAAGAGAGAGAGAGAGAGAGAGAGAGAGAGAGAGAGAGAGAAAGAGAGAAAGAAGAGAGAGAGAAAGAGACAGTGCAGACGAGAGTATCATCCCCGGTGACGAAAGCAACGATCTGTACACAACAGGACAGCTTCAGCAACGACGAAGATGCATCAATAAAGCCTGCAGTCATAAAATGTCGCGATAACCGACGCGATTATTATTATTATTATTTGCTGTCATTCAGGGTGATCATCAATCATCATGTCGCTCATTATCAAAATCAATATACGCATATATAAGTATAATATAATATAATGTATGTATGTACGCATGTATATGTATATATCGTTATTTTGTATGGCCAATTAGCATTATTATCATTATCACGATTTCAATGCTCCCTTTTACTCTTGGGCCCTAACCGTGGACTCGTAACGTGGCTTCATGTGCCGCTCTTCCCGACGGATTAATAGCGAGACACGCGTAACGTCCATCGTGGTCTGGGGTAACTGGCTCGATCAGAAGTATACTCGTTCGTGGTCCGAGTTTCCCGACGCTGTATCCCATATATTGCGACAAGGGTTGACCTTCGTATGTCCAGGTGATCTCAATCGGTGTGTCGCCGACCGGTACCATGCACGCTAGCTGAGCAGCCTGTCCGGCATAGATCGGTCGATCCCCAAAATCGAAAGGACTGATGCGTGGTAAGACTGGAATATGTAACGGTAGTAGAGGCTCTAGGTAAACCGGCCACGACGACAAATTTTAACGCGATTTTTAATGAAGACTCGATGTGTTTTTCCTCTCCTCTTTTATCTCTTTTCTGGATTTTTTTTTTCTTTTTTTTTCTTTTTTCTTTTTTTTTTTTTTTTATTCGTTCGTCACTTATTTGTTCTTCCGATTTGGTGTTTCCATTTCTCCGTATTTTGTCCGAACCATGTGTCTCGTAATACGCTTGCGGCCTTTTCCGATATTGTCGTTAAAATTAATTAACGAAGAAATCAGATAACGAAATAAGTGAATAAAATGAGGGTTAGGACGTGTTGTTGTTCGTTTGCTTCGCGACAGCTTTAAACTCGAGAAAAGAAAAGGATAAAGCTCCCGCCGGCTTGAAAACTCAACCCACCGAATTCTGTATTAACGAGGAGAAGATATAATTGTGTAGAGAGTTAAAGAGAGAGTGATAGAGAAAGAGAAAGAAAGAGAGAGAAAGAGAGAGAGAGAGAGTGAGAGAGAGACATAGGGGAAGTTCAGAATGGAGAATCGGGCAAACGTAAACTTTCCAGACATCTTCATGTGTATTTATGTATTGCTACACGACAGACAGAGCAAGTAGTACAGTTTATTACGACGAACGATGCATTATTATTAACGTTATTATAATATAAATATATATACATGTAATATA